AAGAAAGAAAGAAAGAAAGAAAGAAAGAAAGAAAGAAAGAAAGAAAGAAAGAAAGAATAACTATATGCTTTCACAAGAAATTCACTTTGAATATAAGGCATATAAAGTGTGTGCCTAGAAAGCCGACGTGGCTACACTGTATTACACCAGACAGACTTCAAGCCAAGGAGTATTATCAGAGATGAAAAGAGACCTTTTCTCATGGTGAAAGAGCACATGTGATGAAAACTAAAAAAAATCCCCACATTGGAATATCAAGGAAACCACCTCTGAAAAACCTATGGGACAAAAATAAAAATCACAGGAAAAACAGAAAATACTTTGAACTGAATGATAACGAGAATTCAAAATGAAAGTCTGTGGGATGCAACTAAAGCAGGGCTTGGACAGAAGTGTACTGCTCTAAACACAAACACTGGAAAAGGAGAAATACATAAAATCAGTGATCAGACTAAGAGATGCTCATGATCATTTCAATAAACGCAGGAAGAGGATTTGACAAAACTGAGTGTCCATTCATGATACAAATTCTCAGCAAAACAGGACTGAAGGAGAACTTCATCAACCTGACAAAGGACATCTGTGAAAACACCAGAGCTAACACTATCCTTAACGGTGGATCACTGAACCCTTTTTCTCTAAGATCTGGGAACAACGTGAAGACATCTGCTCTGATGACTTCCGTTGAACATTTTATTATTAAGTCCCACACTGTTTAAGGAGGCAAGAAAGAAAGGCAAAAGATTTGAAAAGAAGCTATAAACACGTATATTTGCAGTTGACATGATTGTGTACAGAGAAAACTATGGATTTATTTAAAAACTACTAGAACTAATTAGTGACTTTAACAAATCTGCAGACACAAAGTCAATTATAAAGAGCAATGTATTTCTATATACTAGTGACAAGCAACTGAAAAGTCAAAGTAAAAAACTACCATTTATAATAGCATCAAAAAGTACACCAAATGCTTATGTGAGAGTAGGCGGTAAGTTAGGTTCTAACAGGCTCCCTGGAGGCCAACAATGAGGAGGTTATGGCCAGCTCTCGGGAAGGTCAGAGGCCTGTCCTGGCAGCACTCCACAAGAAGCCAGGTCAAACCTACCAGGCCCAAGATGGCGGCTGCCATGAAGGAAACCCGTGACTAAATTAGGAAGAAAAGGTGCAAACCCCTGCATCCCTGCCTGGAGAGATGAATAGTCCACCCCCTAGTTAACAACCATCAACCATCAATAAAAGATAGAAACCCAACCCCCAGGGCTCACCTGCTCTCACATCTCAAGAGTGTATTTTTCACTTTAACAAACATTCCTGCTTGGGTCACTCCTCTGTGTTGTGTCTGTCCTTAAATTCTTCCTTCTAACAAGACCAAGAACCTTCGGCAACACCTTTGGGATAGGCTGGGTTGAGGCCCCAGGGCCCAGGGTCTCCCCAGTCTATCCAGTGACACTTAGAAGTAAATCAAACCAAAGATGGTGGGCAAGACGTCTACACGGAAAACTGTAACAGTGCGGGGAGAAACTCAAGAAGACCTAAAGAAATGGACAGCTGTCTACCACCTGCACAGATTGACTCAATGTTTTAAAGATACGTTTTCTCTCTCTCAGTTGATCTACAGATTCATTGTAGTCCCAATCAAAATCCTAGCAGGTTTTTCACTCATATGTGGAATTTAAGAAAGAAACAAAAGAACAAAGAAAAAAAAAAAAAGAGAGAGACAACCACAAAACAGATTTTTTTAAAAAAATATTTTTATTTATTTATTTGTCAGAGAGAGAGAGAGAGAGAGAGAGAGAGAGCACAAGCAGGGGGAGCAGTAGAGGGAGAGGGAGAAGCAGGCTTCCCACCGAGCAGGGAGCCCGATGCGGGACTTGATCCCAGGACCCTGGGATCATGACCCGAGCCAAAGGCAGACGCTTAACGAC